AAAAAAAAAAAAAAAAAAAAAAAAGAAAAATTGTCAGACTAAGCAACAATAGCTTAATGTTAATGACCACCGACCGCAAAGTGTTTGCCCTTAAAGTGCACGATAACGCAACGTTGGAAATCTTAAGTATATACGTGAGACGATGGAGCCGCTCAGGGGAGCAATATCGCGATAATCTACACGCCATCCAAAGTTTAACGCACGTAGTTGAGCTAAAGAGAGTCTCTATATGTGGCGTTCGAAGTGTAGATGATGTTGGCCGCGACTATGTCGTGTGAGAGTAGTGGAGGGAGGAGCTGCACGCTGATGATGCCTCGTTGGTTTTACTACATATTTTTTATTTTTTTTTATTATTTTTTTTTTTTTTAACAAACAGTTGCTTTTTTGGTCTCTTTATCGCCGCATTATTATTATTACTACTATGTTTTTTTTTTTCTTCTTCTTTTTTGTATATTATATACGTAAACGCAGTATTTATAGGCTTTGCTTAACAAACGCATTGTTTATACAGAAAACTATGAGTTGGCCCTTACTATCCGTCTAGCAATCAATTAATCAATAATTCAGATGATCTTTTGAGATCGCTAATTCAATTGCTAAATTTATCAAAATTGTTACTAGATTGCTGGACGGTGTAAAGGTGCAATATTCCTTGAGTAAATAAAGTATTACGTTTATACGCACGTGATTGGGCGTCCCTTCTCTGTTGCTTTTGGAACCGCGCATATATATACATACGCACACGACACTTATAGTACACAACACAGACCACACATAGTAAAAGTCAAGAACGCGCCACTTAAAAAAAAAGAGAGAGAAGAAGAAAAAAATAAAAAGACAGAAGGAAATCCTGAGCTTCTATTCTCATTTTTTTGGACAACAATCGTGTCTACGTCCACACACATGTACGTACAACCGCACTTACAACAGTCCAAGTTGCCGAGAAGGAGATTTTTTAGCTGATACGCGCGGGTGACACGCTCTCAACCTTGTTAATTTATTTATATCTCTACCTCTGTGTTAATTAAGTTTAAAAAAATTTTTTTATTTAATTTTTCCTCTAACCGAAGAGACTAATGTCGTACAAAAAAAAAAATCTATGTTTGGCTTGAAATGAATTTTTTTTTCTAAATCGTTGTATAGTTGTTGCTGTTGCTATGATTACTGTTATTTTATAACTGTTGTAACCGTCGTTTAAAAAATAACCCCCGGCTCAGAAGTATACAGTGTAGAAAACTATATAGCGCAATCACGGAAGGGAAAAGGCCGTATCTGCGTATCCGGTTTGCTACTTAATTTCATTCGTATACCTTATACAAAGTGTACTTATATGTTTTTTCCACGTACCGTAGAGTTGAACGTCTCTGGATGTGCATAGTTTACAAAAGATTGTCAGAGTTCGCACCATCAATGTTTGCTTTATTGTGTGCGTGTGTACTTTTTTTTTTTTTTTTTTTTTTTTTTTTTTTTTTTTTTTTTTTTTTCTCTCTTTCTCGATCCCAACTTATCAATACGAGATAAGTGCGGTCGAAAGGTGTGAGACAGCGGAATGCGTTCCTCATATGTATCACTGTATACTATAGACATTACATAGCAACATAGTCTAGCTGTGTTCGATAGCTAGTTCAACGGACCTACGTTAAGTAACCACTTATAAATAAATATATATATATGTTACATGTATTGAGTGTGTAAATTGTTGCTTATGTCGATGCGCTTAAGTATTACATTACTTATTTTATAGGCTTTGCTTTTTTTTTTTTTTTTTTAATGCTTGGGCTGCCACGGCTTGATATGACATACATATGTGTAAGTGGAACGAAAAATGTGTAGGTAATGATTTTTTTCTTTTAAATTGATGTTGAACAAAAAAAAACAGAGACAAAAACTGCATAACTCCATATTACTATTGATCCTCCCGCTTTCTCTGGGCTGTGTGCTTCTCGCCTGGCTTTGACGCTTTTTTTGCATACAACTGTTATATGTGTTTATTGTAACTGTGTTGATGTGTTGTTATGTTTATATTTAACTACATGTGACCTGCCGTTGTTTTTTCCACTAATTGCGTTCTTTTTTTCTTAAAAAAACTTTGACTATATAGAGCATAAGAAAGAGAGAGCGCTCAGCTGTGCTGTGTGTGTTACGAGAGTGTGGTCGAAAATCGACTCGACTGTAACATGTGTGTTACGTCCTTTGTTGTTTGGTTTATTATAATTTCGTATGTTTTTTTTATTTTTTGTTTGCCTCCTGTGTTTTTCGTTTGAACCGTCGTTCTCGTTGCCAAAAAAAAAAGTTTTACCTTCCGTTCTCTTTTTCGTTCATTCATAACATACTTCTACACATAGTTTTTTTTTCTCTCTCTCTCGACGTGTCATGTACACGTGTGACATAGATATTATATTTCTGCTCCCATAAAGCCATTATCATTTTTCATTGTCAGAAACAATCGACCTCCCGATTTTCCTATCCATTTTTTTTGCTCTTACGACTCAATTTTTATTTTCTCCCATTCGAACGTACTGCCAGAGGAATCATTCGGAGGGTAGGATGTTAATGTTTCCTTTATCTTTTTGTCGTAAAGCTATAGTTATTGCCATTCAGTTGAAAATTATTGATTTGGTTTTCCAACTCGCACGCATGTTCTCAAATCTTTACTACATTGTAGACTAGCACACCAATAAAACTTTCAAACTTTACTACTTCAAGATTTATCCGTGTCATAGTTCACCCCAATTTCGATTTCATTAACCAACCCTTTTTTTTGTTCTGCTAAACTATTTCGTATCATATTGGTATTCATCAATGTGTTTGAATTAATTTTGCACACACCAAATTCAGTTGAAATGTGCGTATTTGTATTAAGTAATTTTTCACTGAAATCCATCAACTTCGAACAAGAAATCAATATGCTCTAGTTTTCCTTTCTATCGCTAATACTATAAGAAACGAGATCATGCGTGTGAAATTTAATTTTTCCAATTATTATTTGATTCGTGAAATACACTGCCTCGGTGAGACACACAAAAAAGTCATGAAAAAACCAGGTAATGTATGAAAACATATTCAAAAGCCGTTTCCTTCACAAAGCCCAATTATTGTTATTATTATAAAAAATATAATCATCATCAACGAGTACCATCATCATTTTTTTCAATCATCGTCATCATTGCTATTGTAGTAAGCTATATACTTTGTCACAAAAATTATATCAGCGCCGCATGATCAACCAATGACTTCACGAGTAACCGTCGTATCCATGGACGTAAAAATAGTGATATCGAATAAACGAGTGACGAACCTGCTTATTATGTACACTATACAATCTGCGATCGCGATAGCTTCTCGTTACAACGTATACGGCATACATGTGTCCAGTGCCGTCTGCCGTGTCGGGTTTGAATTATTAACGACAGCTTTTCCTTTGACGCGCTGGTACAATAGATCGCCCTCCGCTTTTACACGGTAATGGAATCATACAATCAAGCCCCAGCTCTGGTAATTCGTTTTGAGCTTCGTCCAATGATCCGCCGTGGATGAATGGTTATTCATTTTTAGCACAACTCCGCGTGTAATATAAAACGCTGAAAGAAAAAATTTCGAGTCGTCGGCCGTAACAGAACAAAGTTACGCGAACAAAGCAACAATAACGAAGCTTTGTTACGATTGTCGTGCTTTACTTAGTTGATACATGTATATATATGGTTGCACTGTTCCCCAGTTACTGGACTCTGAACAGTTTGCTTTGCGCTTTTGTATTTTTATTACCCACACTTTGTTTGAATGAATTGTGTACATACTTATGTGTATATTTATGATATACATGTATAGATTGTAGCATTAAAACAAAAAGCTGCTTATACGTTCGTCATATGCATTGTTGAACAAATAGAGAATTGGAAAAGCCAATGAAGCTTTGTATCTAGTGCTAAAATAATTAGTTATCTGTTTTTTTCGCTTCTACGATGCTGGTTCGGTCAAAAAGATGCTTGAGTCTCTTGGTGTTCTGTGATCTGAACTCTATTGTTTTTAATTTAAAGTGATTTGTTGATTATCTGAATTAAATTTTGTTAAAATTTTACTCGATGGTGTGAAATTTTACGCATCTGTATGATCAATGCGATTCTAAAAAAATTGTTGTAAATTTTTAACTGATTCAATGTCCAGTAATTGGGGGTGGGTTACGTAAGCTCTTAATTTTTTTAGTTTGAATTCAATTTCTTACGGTTGAAGCAGGTACGTCACGTCCGAAAACAATTGCAAAACACGTCTGAAAAGCCCAGCGGTATCATCTTATCCGCATTTTACATTGATAAAAAAAAATTGTATTTTCACAAAATCACTTCAGGCATAACAATTTTTTTTTTTAAAGGAAGTTATTCTTGATTAAGAACGCCATAATATTTATTTTATTTCATGTAAAATATTTTCACGTATAAAAAACGAGTCCCACTTACTTTACGTTGCTTCATGTTTTCTTCTGAACGAGCGACAAAATCTGAAAATCAAAACTTTTTTTTTTTTTTTTTTCAAATAAGTTTTGTAGTAATTTAATCATATTTATATTTATAATACGATTTAACATTAATTAACGATTTTTTTCAAGTGTCATTTTTTGATACATACGTTTACATAAATTATTATTTTTATTCTTTGATTATTTTTCTGTAAAAATCATTGTACGAAGTTTTTTGTCAGTTGAGCATGCCTTTTCTAACCAGATTTTGAGAATCGTAAAGTAATTTACAGTATATATTAACGACAAGCATATTTAATATAATCATGAAAAAAGTTATTACGTTGTTGAATAAGCGTTGAGAAAATTTTAACCATTTTTATTTTTTTTCACAAATATATATTACGCAACTGAATTTCCTCTCAACGATGCATCCATCCACAACGAAATACTGACTTTTGACCAAACGCCCTATAAATCGGCTGGTTATCATTATTTTCTGTTGTGTGTGTAAATATATTATTTGCCACGTTTGTATTATTTAAAACGAGTTTATCGATGTTTTTATTTCGCTTGATATGTTTATTTGTCGTTACGATGTTTATTATTTTGATCTATTTTCGATTGATTTATTATGGTTTGTTTTTATGTGTTGGTTGTCGATAATAGATAACCCATGAAGCAGAAAATTTCTTTTCAACCCAATGGGGTAACAATGATTAAAAAAAAAAAAAAAAAAAAAAAGTTAAGTGTGACAAAGGCAAAAGCGTAGTTGAGGAGTGTCATAATCAAGCCACAATAACCAACAGTATATCATCAGCATTTTGTCGTCCAACATTTTTTTGTTTCGTTGATTCAAAATTTATTATGATTTATTAACGTACATTCCAAAATTTTTTCTTGTTTGCTGCACTCTACGCAACAGCGCTTATGTTTGCCTTACGAGTGTATGATATGCGAATGGATGGGTTGAAAAGAAAAATAGAAAAAAAAAAAATGGGTTGTGAGGGGTGGGTTTGTTCACTTGTGTGTTTATACTGATTGTTTCTGTTGATACTTATACTCTTGAGTTTTGTATAGCCTGTACTCTATCCTATTCTCTACAAGGCAAAGAGTGAGTAAAAAGTGGATTGTATATAGTCCATTATGGTATTTAAAAAAAAGGGGAGAGGGAAGGGAGTCACAGAGAAAAAAGAAAAAGAAAAGAAAAGGTATTCGGGTTTCAATACCGAAAAAAAAGAAAAAAAAAGTCCGAGTACTCGTGGTAGAATAAAGCCTGTGACGTTGTTGTTGGCAGTTCCTGAACATGGCGTCGGTGTTCATGCGGATCTTTAACCTGATCTGCATGATGCTCCTTATCGGCCACTGGAGCGGCTGCCTGCAATTCCTCGTGCCGATGCTGCAAGGCTTCCCGAGCAACTCGTGGGTCGCCATTAACGAATTACAAGTGAGTACGCGTTTGATTTTTCGCGCGCGCGTTGTACCGCTGTAAACTGTAACTTGTACTTTGTTGTAAAGTGCAACAAAGGGGAAACAAAATCGATTGGTTTTACGGACACGTGGGTATACAGCAAGTATGAGATAACAATCGTATGAAATGGTCGTAGGACTCGTTTTGGCTGGAGCAGTACTCGTGGGCCCTGTTCAAGGCGATGTCGCACATGCTGTGCATCGGATACGGCAGATTTCCGCCGCAATCGCTGACGGACATGTGGCTGACGATGCTGAGTATGATCAGCGGGGCCACCTGCTACGCCCTTTTCCTCGGCCACGCGACCAATCTCATTCAATCCCTCGACTCGTCGAGGAGACAATACCGCGAGAAGGTAGGAAGCTCACCCGACACCGCCTAGGAACCTCGTTCTTTTTCGAATTTAATTTTTTTTCTCTTTAAAAAATGCAATAATTTATCGTCCGAATTTGACGACCGTATTATGTTTATTGAATATTGAGTTAAGAAGTGCGATTGAAAGGATACTATTGGGACTAATCAATTGGTAAAACAACGAATGCTCCAAAATGCATATGTGTATATATACGCGACAAAAAATTTGTGATGGTAATAATGATGATCCAATGATATTAATAACGATGAATGTTCCATCAGGTGAAACAAGTCGAGGAATACATGGCCTACCGTAAACTACCACGGGAAATGCGACAAAGGATAACCGAGTACTTCGAGCACCGCTACCAGGGCAAGTTCTTCGACGAGGAGCTCATACTTGGCGAGCTCTCGGAAAAACTGCGAGAGGTAACGAGCTTCCTTCATTCGTACACTGTTATACACTGTGACGTATAAAGAGGAAGAAAAAGAAGAAAAAAAATTAACAACCACGTTTTCGTTCTTCTCCCACAACAGGACGTGATAAATTACAACTGCAGATCGCTCGTAGCGTCCGTGCCGTTCTTCGCGAATGCCGACTCGAACTTTGTCTCGGACGTCGTTACGAAACTTAGATACGAAGTCTTCCAGCCAGGTAAGGACGATCATTTCCCATTATGTCTCCAGTAGGAGAGGGTATATTGTATATACGTGGTTCACCCAAGTACCGACATCTTACCATTGAATTCACTTTTTTTTTTCGCAATTGAATTAATAACTGTCAAGGCTAACTCTAAAAGCTGCTCCGAGCAACTAAAAAGTATTTTCCAAAGGTAATAATGCGGCACTATGCCTCGCGCAACTGCATCGTTACGTAAGACGAAAAGTAAGTAGTAGTAGTCGAGTTTGGTCAGACGGCCGACTTTGATTGCGTAACGCATGGCAAAAGGCTCGCAAGTGCGATGGTTTGGAAAAGAAGAAAAATCCAAAAAGAGAGAGGGGTAGAGAGTTGTGAATGGTGGCTTTTTCAGGTGACATAATAATAAAGGAGGGAACGATCGGCTCCAAGATGTACTTCATCCAGGAGGGCATAGTCGACATCGTGATGGCGAACGGCGAGGTGGCGACCTCGTTGTCCGATGGCTCGTACTTTGGCGAGATCTGCCTGTTGACGAACGCGAGGCGAGTTGCGTCGGTCAGAGCCGAGACCTACTGTAATTTGTTCAGTCTCTCGGTCGATCATTTCAACGCGGTGCTCGACCAATACCCGCTGATGCGCCGCACGATGGAGAGCGTTGCCGCCGAGAGGTATAAGCTTTGGTTAGGTTTGTTCTATCGAGTTGGTGTGCTAAATTTACATAGATGTCGATCGCTACCCTTATCCACCCCCACCCCCCCCCATACACACATTATCAATGGTGTTATTGTTATTACTTATTATTATTGCTGCTCTCTCTGTTTCTCATTCTATACTGTTGTTGCCTTATTGTTGCTGTTGTTATACGTACAGTGTATATCGCTCTACTCTGTCGCTGTTTCGCTCTTTCTTTTTTGTTTTTTCTACTGTTGGTTTATCAGTGCTTTTTTTCCATCATTGGCCTTTCGGATTTCGATTTGGCACCGATTTTTTACCATTACGATTGCGCTACAGATCACACACTTTTTTTTTTATTTTTTTTATTTTTATTTTTTTTTATTACTTGGTCCTTTAATCGATTTTTATATGTTTATTGGCTCTTTATTACCTGTATTACACTTTATCGAAATCGTTGCCGTTTTTTTCTTTTCCTTAGATTGTTTTTTCGTATTAAAATTACATCGTTTTTTATTTTTAGTTTTCGAGGTTCAAGGAAAAAAAAAAAAATACTTAGAGGTGGGAAAAATTCGCGCTCGCGTGCCGTACTTTGTTGGGTATGGCGCTTGCGCTCTGCTTTTCGTCGTGGACTCGCACACGCGAGGAACGGAGTATCGATTTTACTTTTGTTCTATAGTCGCGAGTGTAAAGTCAATAAAATTACATAAGGCATTGTTCGTATATGTAACAGTCCACGAGGTTAGTCGAGTTTATTTTTTATTTTTCACAACGATGTTTCGGGATACTGATACGTTTCTTTTTTTCAATAATTGTACTTTTTTTTCCTCCTTTCTTTAATGCATAAAACCACGGAAATTATTCAAACAGAGTGCTCTGCAATACCTACTGGGACACAGGATTTCAATTACGATCTCTTTTTCGTTCTAATTCTGCACCCTGAAAACCGAAATGGATTTCTAAATGATTGGCTCGATTAAAATTTACTAAAAAAAACATTATCGAGATAAAGTACAATGTTTTTCAAAATTTTTCCAAAAAATCTATCAAGGGTAGAAAGCAATGTGCAAAGATCGGCAGGTTTGCAGAAAGGTTGCCGAAAGCATCAAAGTCTTAAAAAAGTAAAACGGTGGAGTTAAAATTCAAACAACCCGCTCATTTATCTGTGTTGAAACAAAAATAGTTTCGTCGCTTGGGAAAATTAAAACAATACCTTTGGTAAAATCCACCCTTTTTACTTAGCGTTTTGTGTTTGCTAACTGCTAAAAACATCGTCGTTGCTATTTTGCTAAGTAATATGTGTGTGCTGCCATTACAATTAACACACGGCAACTTTTCGTGCAAACGGCGTCACCCTCGAATCAGAACATCTACATTTTGATTTATCGATAATTCCGTCATTAATCAAAACCTTGAGCAGCCCAGTATTTACCAGACTTTTCCGTAACTATATCAATTGTAATTTCTCTTTCGAAAACGAAAAGTTGATGTTTTTGTTTCAATTGGCAATCATCGGTTTACCACGAAATTCGAGTTAGCATTCAATCGAAGTATATCTGTGTCAAAAGCTCGAAAGTACGAAAAGTAAGTTATACATATGCAGTTATAATACATTTATACTAATAATACGAGAAAAAAAATTCACTACAATCAAATGTTACGCACAATTCCTTGTCTCAGCCCATCAACAAAATAGATTAAGTGTTTGTTGCACAATCATGGAGATGGTGGCAAAAATATATTTGTGTTCGAAAAAAGAAAAAAAAAATTAGTCATAAACATTTGGGGATTAGAGCACCATTATCTAACAAATGTACTTTATTCAATGCACACTCGAATGTCAATGAAAAACCTTTGTTCCTTAAAGATGACGAAAAAACTCCGGGATTTTCCAAAAAAAAAAAAAAAAAAAAAAAAAAAAAAAAAAAAAAAAAAAAAAAAAAAAATAATAATAATAA